CCATCAAACCCACCAGCCCCCACGTCCCCCCCGGAGCCAGGGAGAGAAGCCAGGTATCCCGGCTCCCAGCCCTCCCGTCACGAGTCCTGGCTCCCAGCCCCTGCTCTAAACCACCAGTCCCCACTTCCCTCCTGGAGCTAGGGAGAGAAACCAGGAGTCCTGGCTCCCAGCTCCCACAGGTACCTTGAAGGCCATGAACTTGTGGTAGGGTTTGGGAGCCCAGGCGTAGACCTCGACCGAGTTCTTGAGGGCGATTACCAGGAACTTGATGCGCTCGTACTTTACTGCCGAGAGGGAAGGGCCACAGTGAGCCCAGTCCAGTGCCCATCCGTGAGGTGAGGGTGGCAAGGCTGGGAGGTTGGGGAAGGCAGCCATGCTGCTGGGGGGACTGGAGACACGGCTGCTCTGGAAAGGCTGGTCTCTTTCCCAGGCAGTACAGGGGCTCAAGGCCTGGGAACAGAGTCGGGGGCTGCACTGTTGGCAGGAGGCCAGGGGTTGTGTGGCCGGGAGGGACATGGCCAGGCCATGAGGTGGCAGCGTGAGGCACTCTCTTACACACATGGTCAGGGCTGGACGAACGGCGTCGAAAACTGCTCGCCAGCCCCCTACTGCACATGCGCAAGAGCTGCATTGCGCATGCGTGCGCCGCGAAGAACGGGCCGTGCGGCTGAAATCTATTCGCCACGGGTGAGTAGACTGTATTGTTTGTCGAGCCCTGCACATGGTAGTGGGGGTTGCCCATGAGGTGGGAGGGGCATGGATGTGCCAGGCCAAGTTCAAGAGGACTCTCTTACCCACACAGTAGTGAGGTTTGGCTGGTGGGGGGGGAGCAGGGGTTGAGGTGCATGACCTGGGCCTTTAGTCAGCAGTACTAGTGTGTGCCCATGGGGCTGTGGCCTGGGCTCTTACCCACACGGTAGTGCACGCAGCCCTCCATGTCACCCACGGTGGTCCAACCCTGCTTCTTCTCCACCTCGGGGTCGTTGTGCAGGATCTTGTTGCGCAGCCAGGACAGGTAATAGACGCGCAACTTGTTCCTCTTTCCTGCGCGAGATGGGTCTGAGCTGCGGCGTGGGCAAGGGGGGGCCAAGGAAAAGCTGGCTGTGGGGAGCTGGGGGCTACAGGGCACGGGGACGAGTTACAGGCAGTGCAGGGATGGAGCTTACCCAAGATGGTAGTGAGCAAGTTGAACCCTGGGGGCCAGTGGGGTGCAGGGAAGTATGTTGGGGGGCTGTGGGACAGGCCATGGGACGGGTGGGCCCTTATCTGAGATGGAGGTGAGCAGGTTGAGCCCCAGGGGACTGTGGGGTGCAGGGGACAGGCTGAGGTGCAGGAGCTCAGGCTGGGGCACGGGGGCGGGGGAGAAGGGGGTGGCATGGGGCAGGCCAAAAGACAGGGGGGCAGGTTGCGG